GAAGGAAGCTACATCAAAGTACAGTTGATACTTTATGTCTCCCAAGTATGTTATAAATCCATGTCGTGTAACCCCTTTCTATTTTGTATTAAGGAAACCAATATTGAAAGTGAATTTCATCTGTTTCAGGGCCCATGCTTTTCAGGAATTTCAAATTCCTTGAGATGTCAGCAAGTTTCTGCCATATGCTCACTAGTTTCATCAATTCATAGATGTGTAGGCCTTTGGCGTCTTCAAGAGGTAGTTCTACTGGGATTTAGTGAACTATTGTTTTGTTTGTGTAGCCTTAATTATCATACAGGATCTTGTTATATTGTGATAGCATATCTACCTATGCATAAGTTTTTGTTGAGCAATTGAAAGAAACTCGCAGAAGTTGAACGGATGTTTTACATTTTTGTCTGAAAACCAATGTACGAGGCTTGTCAACTGTGCAGACTCTCAGCCTGAAACTGTTCATACTTTCTGTTGATTGCATGTTTAACTCCAGTAATTCAATATTCTGAAATGTCTCAAAATTGGACAGCTAGTGTTGTTTCTGGACTTTCTAAAGGGGGACTGATCCTCTTCTGGATTACCTTGCATCTTTTTTCTCTTCTTTTATTGTCACTCCAGTGTGTGTACCATGTATATATCACTATACTAATAGGTTATTTTCTGTGTTTTTCCTACTGTTCTCTTTTTAAGTGTATAGAAATCATTGAAGTTTTGGCCCTAAAAGTTGACTCATTGATGTGGCCTGGGTTGGTTGGATTTAAATAGAGGATCTATGCTGTTTTAAAATTTAAGGATGCTACAGGAAAGTAGTTGGTATATATCTGCTATTGATCATAGAACTGGCCTTTCTGTGGCATAGGACTACATCACGTCCCAGTCCAGAAGCTGAGCTTTTCCACTTTTGCATCTTTGTTTGCAGGTTTTGGCTCCCTACAAATGGCCTGAACACTTAGAGACTGACTTTCTCTTTGGTGAGTATTCCATGCCAAATGCTGAACCATGATATCTGAAACACAGTCTCTATCTTGCAATGTGATGTCAATTTGTCCTTTGTAAGGCTCATCCTCCGTTGGGTCTGTGAATGCACAATTTGTGGCTGCATTTTCAGCAGCATCTGGAAAACGTGCAGCACAATTATCTGAATCTGAGGAGTCTGATCCATATGTAAGAACCTATTCTTTTTAGGATTGCAACCAATGAAATTCTTAGTACTTTCATTTGGACTTTGAAGCTGATAACTGGTCCTCTCAGTGGGGCTGCTGGAGTGCAAGTCAAGAGCTAAGAAATCCATCTATCAAAGTCATTTTCCCTACCATTGAAAGGGTGAAAAATGCAAGTTGTGGAATTTTGGCATCTAAATACATCCTGTGCTTCTCACAGGTACATCAACTTGTCTTTCACTTACGAATCATTATTATAGGCATTTTCATTTCAATTTCAGTTGAACAAGTATATTATATATGTCAAAATGGTTCTACTACAATTTAATATTGGGACTTGATTTATCATGAGAGGCTCCACAACTTTTCTTATTTTGCTGCAAGGGACATTAACAACTACCATGTTAAATTTGGATATTACATAAGAAAGTAAACAATCTTAACTGAAAGACAAAGAATTATGATTTTGATTGGATTTGTGCGTAGCAGTACTGATTAATCTGGTTGAAAAGATTTGTTCTTTAATCAACAATCGCATTTTATTTGTGGCGACAGAAAACGTGGCAGAGGTTGAAAAATGTTGGCATACTTCATGATGCTATTCCTTATCCCAATGAGAGAAGTGGGTTCCCTATGCATGTGAAGGTAAAATTTCCCATCCGAGTAATATAGGCTCGAAGTTAATTCTTCTAGAGGTTGATTATTATCTCATAAACTTCACTGGAAGATATGCAGATTAGTTCCATCTCTGCACTTATGATTGAGTAATGACTTCTCTGTTTCGGAGTAGTTGTTTAGTTTCCTGCACAGAATCAGTAAGAACATATAACCCTGTTGACTTTCATTATTTTGCTGTTTTTAAAAATATTATGTGCATGTCCTTCACTCTATTTTTCTTTCTGGCTCTCGCAATTAAGCCTCCACCTGAGCCCTAAACTGTTTAGTTTTGTTGGTTTATTTCCTACTTGGGACAATTACCTTAACTCTTCTCAACTTTTGGCCTTGCATGGCATAGTGTTGGTAAATGATGTGATAGAATTGACTACAGTTTCAAGGTTTAAAGCTTCTTGTGATGTTTTGAGAATTTTGCTCTTTATGGTGTTGTCTTAAAGGATCCTCCAATTTCATTCTCTGGCATATTTGTGTTTGTGCTGAAAAAAGTAAAAAGAAAAGTGATTTTGTTGAAAAGCAGGTAGCGCGAAGAAGGTTCCAATCTAAGACAGATGCTTCTTCCTTTGGATGGGTTTATTGTGGATCACACAACTTTAGTGCTGCTGCTTGGGGCCGTCCGCTTCCAAATACCGTTGACAGAAAGGTGAACGTGAATGAGAGAGATAGTTCAGTATTAGGTTCAAGGCTTCATATATGTAATTATGAGCTCGGAATCATTTTCACCGTTCCCCAATCAGATAGAAAGGACAACGGGGATGAAAAGCACAGAAACTTGGATGATATTGTGTTGCCCTTTGCTACACCTGCCCCAAAGTATAAGCCCAGAGATGAACCAGCAACAGCCCAAGCGATGAGGGAGGTGCTGACTGAAATGGAGAGAGAGATGGATGCAGCTATAGCAATCAGTGGGGAGTGTCCAGATGAGGAAGATGAGGTACTGGAGGCTGCTGATTTTGTCACAGTGGAGAAGGAAGATGAAAAGGCTTATGCTGAGAGGCTTTGGAGTGGGGTTGATTCATCCGAGGGCTGCTGAAAGTCATTGAGGAATCAAGCGGACAAAAAGACTACTTGACCTTGGTGAAGGCAGCGCTGGGTCACAAGTGGATGGAGATTCAAGGTGATTCTGAATCCCCTTTGTTACATTAAAATATCTTTGGAATTGCAAAAAGGGAGGTATGACTTGATACGTGTTGTTGTGATACTCTGCAGGTTTGATATAGAATACATAGATAGTTTATTTAGACAAGAAATTGCCGCCGATACTTAAAAGCAGGATTCTGTAAGGTGTAGTGTAGGATTGAATTTGTGTGTGTGTGTGTTTGTTCACGCTCTTTGAACCCATTGCAACGGCAATGCAAGAAGTGAAGAGTAATGATGTACCGAATTCATGATTGTACAAGAAGGATGAGAATAAAAAGATGCAGCTGGAAATATTTTAAAATCCGAATCGTCAGGTTAGTTTAACCGGTCGGACCGATGGCATTTATAATTGATCCCTGGTTAATGGAGTTTTTAATTTTAAACTGACTGTGAGTAATATTGTCGGCTGCCGTACCCACAGAGTCTTGGACCTGATGTCCAAAGGCATAGAGACGTACTGTAGTTGTTTCTTGTGATGCATGCAAAAGAAACGTGTTGTAATCGAGATTGCATATGAAATGGAACATATTATTGATTGATTCCAGACGCATTCCTCTTCCTGCTCCTAAAAGTGATTCGAAATCAAAATTCAAAACCGCAGCATCAGGAAACATGTCACCTTCGATCCCATTGACCGGATGGGTTCTGCAACTGAAGTCCAAATTCAATGTTCCCCATTGAATTTATTTTATACACGTGTCCCTTATTTTCCACGCCACGCAACAAAATGTGTTGCAGTGATGCTAGTGACTCCGGTTTAATATCCGAGTATTAAGACCCGAGTATTTGTTTTTGTGACGTTATGGTGATGATGCTGCGATTACTTGGCCATGCGTGTCAGAGTCCGTACGGAATCATTCAATTATGACGACAAAATTGTCTCTAAATTCTGAAAATTACGTATTTTTTGCATAGTAGAGAAGTGCTACGGCACACTACAAGAATTCAAAGTATCCCAATCCAATCCTTTTCGCCTTCGGAGGGGTGGAGTGACTAGTGAGTGACTCGATGAGAGGGAAAGGAAGGAGTACAAGTAAAACGTATCAACAAATAAATAAAACCAAAAAAAAAAAAAAACTTCCTTCCAAACAAGGCATTCTTTCCGTGAGAGTCTTCAATTGACAATTACCTTTGCGTGCTTTGATCCGATTGGTGATGTAGTCTTACAAGTTAGACCCGAGACCTTTCCCAATTCCCCACTCCCCCCCGCCAGCCCTCCTGATTCTCAATCAAAGCGTGTGTTTCAGCTGCATCCTCGTCTCGTGTACATTTTCCGCCGACGACAGCCACCTTAAGTTTGTTTTTCCTTTCAGATTCAGTGGCAGTGGGCACAGACTCTTCTGACCAATTTCACAAATTTCCTCAGCACTGTCGTCATTTTAATTTTCTCTTTTCCAATTAATCATAAATCACTTCCAAAATGATTTTTTTAAGTTTTAATTTAAACACAAATAACTCCTGAAATTCACATTTTTTACTTTCCTAGAGATCAAACCGTATATATCTCCACTATAATTAAAAATAACGAATAATTTTACTGTTGTTTTAGAGTTATACCGCATGTTTTTGGAAATAGTAAGATTTATATTTCCTACATTTAAACAAAAGTTTCGCACTAGCAGTCGCGCGTGATCGGACAATATACAACTTCATTCATTCAGATTTTAAATTCTTGTTTATTTAAATTTTTCGTTCACTGAGAATTCAGAATGATCGACTTGTAACATAATTAAAATTCAATCGATGATACTTATCTTTGATTTTTGAAATATAAAAGTACATAATAATTTAAGTATTATAATCCTAGTCTTAAAAAAGGTAATTTGTATTTTTCATAACATTATTATTGTTCCAAGTTTCCAACGACAACAATCTAATCTTAAAAAAGGAAGAAAAAAAAAAAGTGAACAAAATAACCCCAAAAAAAAAAAAAAGAGAAAATCTCGTGTGTAAACGGACACGAGTGTAGAGCCAAAGGACCCCGTCCCGAAATATATACCTGGCTTTTGACGCCACCTACCCCATGAATCGCAATTACTCCCTATTCCGCTATTAGACTATTGCTTGCTTTCTCAATTCTCCTTCTCCATGTACTGGATTTTCCAGCAAAAAGTCCCCATGTACTTGAACTACCTCTGCAAAATCTAAACTTTAACCATTTTTTCTCCTCACAATCCATTCAGTTTTCAAGATGGAATTATCGTGTTCATCATCTCCGCTTTCAGTTCATTCCATTCCTCAAGCTCACCGCCGTCTTTCTCCCCACCACCGCTGCCGGAATGTTATTTCTCTTTTCCCCAGCTACCCTCCTTCTACAATCACCAGCAGCTGTACCAGCACCAGCACCAGCACCAGCTGTTCTTCCTCTTCTTCCTATTTTGGGATTTCGATTTCTAACAAAACCAGGATTTCTGTTTCGTCGGGAAAAGCTAAGTCAAACCGATCGTTGTATATTGTAGCTGGGGTGTTTGAGAAATTTACTGAGAGAGCAATTAAAGCGGTTATGTTTTCCCAAAGGGAGGCGAAAGCTTTGCAGGTAGAAATGGTGTATACCCAGCATCTTTTGCTAGGACTTATCGCAGAAGATCGTGCTTCCGGTGGGTTTTTAGGCTCTGGAATCACAATCGAGATGGCTCGCCAAGCCGTTAAGAGCATTTGGCATACCGATACTGATGATAAGGAGGAGAATGGTAAGGGTAATGGGAGTGGTCTTGGTCCTGAGGGGGCAGAGGTCTCGGCCACTGATGTGCCGTTTTCACCGAGCACTAAGCGGGTTTTTGAGGCTGCCGTGGAGTATTCGAGGACTATGGGGTATAATTATATTGCGCCGGAACATATTGCCGTTGGGTTGTTCACTGTTGATGATGGAAGTGCTGGCCGTGTACTTAAGAGGTAGTACATTTTGAATTAGCATATTTTTATCTATGAATGCTTTACTCGCTCAGAATTGCAATTTTTCTAGTGCTTTATCTTGGTCTTATATCGACTGCTGAAACTATTGTTGCAACTTGTGATCGAAGACAAAACTAGGAAGGGGTGGCAAAACAAGTCAACTGGGAGGTAAAAAGATAAAGATCATTGTAATGATGATTTCCATGAATCGCTTCAATGCATTTCGTATGTTTGGATTAATGATAATGAGAACAATTTGAATCATGAGTTCTTTGAACTTTTTTAGCCAAGTATTGTGATCAAATTGTAAAGTAATTTTGTTGTGCTTTCGTGTAGTTTCCCTGAACAACTTATAGGAGCTGGGAATTTTAAAAAAAAATTACAAAAATACAGAGACACAAACAATAATATTTCAAGTAGAAGCTTCTTTTTGCTAAATTGTTTGGGCTGTTTCTCTATTTTGCCAAATTTTCATTTCTTGAGCAATGGACCATGTTGTGTCAAGTTATTTGCCGGTTATCACTGGCGCTACTGGGTGAAATATTTGTTAAGAATGTTTTCAGTAGCAATTTAGCATTTTTGGCTAATAGTATGTTTAAGCTGGTTTACATGCCATCTGTTACTTCCTACAATGGTCCAAATGTTTCTGGTCGAATGTGTCAGGATATAAAGCAATATACTTTTCACAAATTTGAAACTTTCTCTATGTGAGGCAAGACTAATTTGATTTCAGATTAGGGGCAAATGCAAATCACTTGGCAGCAGTTGCCATCACCAGATTAGAAGGAGAGCTAGCCAAGGATGGCAGAGATCTTCCCAGACGGCCTCATGAAAAAGCTCCTGCTGCCAAAGCCAGCATCGCAAGATCCTCTCAAAGAACTGGAGATCAGAGTAATCATTCTCTTATTCTTGTTCTTGGTTTCTTAATGACTGGAACAGGAATATCTGATTTAAGGTTTACCCTTTTCAATAGAAAAAAATGCACTGGACCAATTCTGTGTGGACCTTACAGCACTGGCGAGTGAAGGTCGCATTGATCCTGTGATTGGCCGAGATACTGAAGTACAGAGAATCATTCAGATACTCTGCAGAAGAACAAAAAATAATCCTATTCTTCTTGGCGAAGCCGGGGTTGGTAAAACAGCAATTGCTGAAGGGTTGGCAATCAAGATTGCGGAGGGAAATGTGCCTTTCAGTCTCTTGGTGAGCCCGTAGGGCCATCATTGAAATACGTCAAATTCTTTTATCCTAGTTAAACTATGATTCGTATATTCTGCTCTGTTTCTTAAGATAGTTGTGCTCTTCATTTTGCACAGACAAAGCGCATAATGTCCTTAGATATAGGTCTATTAATCGCAGGCGCAAAGGAGAGAGGTGAACTGGAAGGACGCGTGACTACATTACTTAAGGACATCAAAAAGTCAGGTGTGCCCATTTCTTTTTGGTGCATTTGAAGTAAGTCATCTACTGTGGCTTAACTTGTTGTGACAGCATTGCAGGCAATGTCATTGTTTTTATTGATGAGGTGCACACACTTATTGGTTCTGGGACAGTAGGACGAGGCAATAAGGGATCTGGTCTTGATATTGCCAATTTATTGAAGCCATCACTTGGACGGGGTGAGTTACAGGTAATACTTCTTCCTTGGTAGATGCTTTAGTGTGCATTATGTTACCGGATACTCATTGATACCTGGACAAGAAATCATGTTACACTGGTATGGTCATCGATATTGTAAGCTCATGTTTCTAATCTTGGCTTGGAATTAGTAGCCGAAAAAATGAAGTCAATTGCTGCCTGTGAACACAAGTTTTTGATCATGGCATGTGGCTTAAGAAGCAAGGGCAAGTGAGAAGCAGAGCCTAGTTTGATTTTCTGGAAAATAAGCTAAGAAAGTATAGTGCTACAGTTTTAATCGTCAGATCATCTGGATTGCTAAGCATGTGGGAATAAAATGTATTCGTCTGTATTAGGTTCATAAAACAAATGATGACAAGAGTAGGCATGAATATAAGGTTTTGAAAGTATCTCTTAGCATTGTCACCACTCATGCACAATGAAGTAGTTGGCTTAAATTGTGGAATTAATTGATGCTTGAGCTACATGGTTATCCAAACACACTTTTTGTTACTAGGTTCCAAGACTTGATCTGGGCTTGATGGATGTTTTGTTGAACTAAATTGAACTGAAATGGAGAAGAAATTGCTTGTTCAATAAGGTTGTCTGTTCTACTTCTATTCCTTTTCCTTTTCCTTTTCTTGCAGCATCATGTGACATGAAAAGAATCAATTTAGAGCTGGTTGGTTAATCGTAAGACGTTCCCTTGCATCTCTCACTTTGCCTTTCCATGCCCTTTTTATTTTAGTACGTTTGTTCCCAATAAAAAATACAATAGAGTCAAGGAAGTTGGGAAGAAAAGCTCCATGGAAGCGGAGCTGTCGATACAGACTTATGGGCCTGGAAGTCATAGGTTGGGGGCCTTGGAGCTGGAAGCTTTGGGACCAGGATGGATGCTACATTTAGGGTTTGGGGCGCTTAACGTCAGCATATCAAGGAAGGATGTAATACGTTGGTCATATAAGGTATTTATAAGTCTACACTTACAACCTTGCTCTTATGTCTTTTAACACTTCAAACTTCCAAGATAGACTCTCCATGTAATTCTATTTCATATATTTCACCAAGAATTTTTGTTAGCGTTATATGCATTATGATCTTGAAACTTCAACTTCCAAGATAGACTTTCCATGTTATTTTTTTTCATACATTTCACCAAGAATTTTGTTAACATTATATGCATTGTGATCTGAAACGTTGTGATTTTGCCGGTTTTAGATACCACATAAATTGAAATGGTTCTTCTTAGGGCTTGCATACCCTAGGTAGATTTAGACTCACTTAGGGGCAGTTTGAAATTGCAAATAAAATGTGCTCACCGTTTCTTAAATTTAAGAGCATAGGTTTTGGACATTTAAAGCAATTCTTTCTAGCTTAAAATTCAAAAATAAAAACAATTAACTTTAACAATTTTATTATAATTTTTTTAACTAAATAAAGAGATAAATATTTTTTTGTAAATTTAAAATTGCAGATTATCAAATAGAAAAAGTACTTATTCAATTAAACGCCCGGACAATTACTTTTAGTCAAAGAATTTTATTATCATATTGTTTGGGGCGTATACTTGAATAAGGATTTATCAAGCATTTAATAAGTACTTTCATTGGTGAAAGTTCTATTCATTGAAGTGCTTTTAGATAAAACTACTGCAACTCCAAACAAACAGGCTTTTAAATGGTTCTCTTAGTCGTATTGAACAAATAATTAACGGTTAAAGAGTGTTCGGAAGTTCTAGAATCACAATAATTAATGTTGAAGGAGTAAAAGTATAAGATGGACGTATTTTGAACCTAAAGTATCTGAGTGTTTGTAATCCATTTAGCATTTCTCAGCATATTTTCCTACAAAATACCCTCAAAAGAGTTAACAGGGGGGAAAAGAAAAGTTTACAGGTCAAAGTAGAAACTTCACAATTTTCTTCTCGTCGGCAACACAAATTTCTATAAATTCCAACATATAATTGTCTATTTTGGTGAGATTGATCAGGAAAAAGAGAAAAGGAAAGGGGTATAGGTGAAATTTGATATTTTGGTCCAGAGTAGAGAAGTCATTTTGACAATAATGGATGACTCTTTAAATGAAGGAAAATGTCAAAGCACTGGGAAGTATCATATAATTGACATCCTATACCAAAATGACTTATCCCCCCTCCCTTCCCTCTTCGGTTTTCTTGATCAATGTCATCAATTTATACAATTTTATATTGGAATTGATTGATATTTTTGCTATTAAGGAAGAATTAATGGCACTTGTAAAGTTTTCAGTTCGACTTCTAAACATTTTTTTTCCTATTTTCTTAACCCACTAGAGGGTAAATTTGTATAAATAAAAGTGACAAAATAGGAATCAACTTAGAAAACCCACACAACATTAGGTGGGTGACTATTGAAACGTGTTTGTTTCCTTCATCTTGCACTTTTACCCAAAGTATAAAGAGGTACTAATTAGTAGATTTGAAAAACACTAGGCCTGGTTGTTAAACCATTGGAGAACCAAAAAAAGAAAAGAAAAAAGTGCAGTTTACCCTTTTCAGAGTCGTGAAAAGAGTTTTTCCGAAAGGAAGGTATATTTTTCCTTTATTTTTTTAACCATCCAAGGCCTTGTTTGGCAGGCAAGTTTTTTGACTAAATTTGTCTGCTACAAGTTTTTTAACAACTTTAGTTATATTAATTTCAAAAAACTTCTCAAAAATTTTAAACTATACACTTCAAAATATCCAAAAATTTACACACTTCAAATTTTTTTTCTACAATTTCTACAATAAGTTACAGTAAAATTTTAAACAAACACCCAAAAAATTCACTTACTAAACGGGCCTAAGTTTACAACTTATGAGTTTTTGTATTGTATTACAAAAAAAAAAAAAGGTTTTTGGAGAAATGCAAATCACAAATTCCTACCATAATTTAATGCCATGGAAAGTTTGAACGCAAACACGATAAAAAAGGGCTTGTTCGAAATTTTGAAAAGGGATAATTCACAAACCTTCCTGAGATTTATAACAATTGCACTCAACTCCCCTCAAGTATTACAAATTACACCAATCTCCCTTGTCACAATAAAATGACTATAATGACCTTCACTTAATAAATAATTCATAGTATAATGAAATGAGATTTTAAAAAAACAAAGAGAAACCTGACCTTTTCAGCGATTCTATTAACAAGTTACAACCAACAACGATTCTCTCCCACTTATTATCACTTTATTCTCATCCGTTAACCCCTTTCTCCTATAATTCGATCTCAAATTACCACTAATTATTGCCTATAATTGCAGCCAATCACATCACAAGTGATCCCTTAAACTCTACTATATATTCCTATTTTTCCTTTTTTCTCTTTGAAATTGCCAAATCATATGTTTAGTTGAGGGATTGGATTTGATGATTGAAGTAAAATCCTATTTCATGATCAAATTAAAAGGAGATGAAAAGCCACACAATAATAATGAAACAAATAATGCAATCATTGGTCAAAAGAGAAGAGGGATTGAAATAGGTAAATTTGCTAATTTGTCTATCATCCATCTAAAAAACTTTTTAAGATGTTAATAAGTACATTTCTATTTCTTTTTATACTTGACAATTGTTGGTTGTGGTTTCACTATGGAGATAGAGCTTCATCTCTGTATTTAAGCCGTTAGCATGTTTGGAGATTTAATGGTAGGTTAGATTATTTTGTTTTAAGTAGATGTAGGCATTGGGTTTGAAGTTTGGGGTGTGATTAGTTATAAATAAATTTTGATTTTTGGCAAAATGAATTTCTTGGAGATCTCTATAGTCATAATGATGCATTTTTTTAAAAAAAATTTGATTAATCCCATCCATGCCTAAATCTCCCATAAGGATTGTTTCCAAGGCCATTACGTGGTTCATGTAGTTGGAGTTAAACCACTTATATGGAACCAAACCATGGTATCCTATGTTGAAGATTATGCAAACACAATAACAATTGATTTGCAGTTTGACCACATGGAACCATATGGTGAGAATATTTTTGAAAAATGGAACAAATCTTCAGAATTGAATGCATGTTTTGGGAGAAACAATTTTATGAATATGATGATGGAATTGTTTGGGTTTAGAATTTGAAATTACACTATTTGTTAGACTATTTTGTTAGTATAGTGGTTTTAGTTGAAATATGAAAAAAAACAATTGGCAAAATAATTTTTGTTTTATTTTTGTACAAAAAAGGGTAGTTTAGGATTTTTAAGAAAAAATATAGCCTTCTCGGTCTATATTATTATATATATAGTAAAAGCAAGGGAGGTAGGTGTAATTTAATAAACTTGAGTGGAGATCTCTGCAATTATCAGAAACCTCCCTTATACGGTTTCTGAAATTATCCCTTTTGATAAAGCCGAAAGTATTGCGGTTACTTGAACTTATACGCTCGATTTGATAACAAATTGCAGGAAATAATCCAATTGTAATTGTACGGAACGTCTTTTTTAAATTGGCTTGACTTGAAGTCAAAACGTTGAAGACAGAGACACCGAAAAGACAAGAGGCACAAACAAACTCCAGGAATTCCAATAAGAGAAGGCTCCTTCCAAGGTAAGCCATCTGAAATAATTTGCTAGGCTCCTTCCAAGTTATTCCAAGTTAAGCCATCTAAAGAATCTGTTAATTTGCTAGGCTCCTTCCAAGTTATCCCAAGTTATTCCAGGTTAAGCCATCTAAAGAATCTGTTAATTTGCTAGAAGGAGTCATTCCAAGTTAAGCCATCTGAAGAATCTACATATTACTCATTTCCTATGCAACACCCACATTTTCTAGTAGTCTACTTCATCCTACTTCCTTCATAGACAAAAATTCCCTTGTTTCTTATGCCTTATGGCTCAAGAACCAGCATTATTGGATCTCTCCTGTAATGATTTTCACTTGTCTCCACTTTTCTGTGAGGCGGATGAATTAGATGCGGAAGGTGATCAGATTTTTCCCGTATCAGATGTGAGGTGTGCTCAAGGATTGCAGTTGCAAGAAGCTCTAGTGGCTTCGATGCTCCCAGAACCGTCTCAGGGTTATTCTACACTTAATATTGCTGCTAATGTTGCTACATCATCATCATCATTCAGTTTTAAAGTAGAACAGGCAGAGGAAGCGATGACAGCAGAATCGGGCGAATCTTCACTGATTTTTTGTGAAATTTGTGTGGATAGAAAAGAAAGAGATCAGATGTTCACGATTCAAAGTTGCGGCCACGTGTTCTGTAACGAATGCATTAGCAAACATGTTGCAGCCAGACTTGAGTACAATGTACACGGTATCAGGTGCCCTGCTGTGAATTGTGGAAGTGCGATTGAGTTTGATTCTTGTAGGTCTTTTATGCCTAAAGATGTATTGGAAAAGTGGGATGAGATGCTTTGTGATGCATTGGTTGATGCATCTCAGAAGTTTTATTGTCCTTTTAAGGATTGTTCAGCGATGTTGGTGAGAGATAGCGATGAAGTTATTAGGGAATCCGAGTGTCCTATTTGTCGGAGATTGTTTTGTGCTCAATGTTATGTGCCGTGGCATCCTGGGGTTGATTGTGAAGAGTTCCACAGGATGAATGAGGATGAAAGAGGGAGGGAAGATCTTATGCTGAGGGAGCTTGCCAAGGCGAAAAGTTGGAACAGATGTCCTAGATGCAAATACTACGTCGAAAGAAATCAGGGCTGCATACACATGACTTGCAGGTCAGTTTCTACTTTCTAGTGCTCGTCACTCCTGTTTTTGTGAATGGTGATTGTACCATTACTTTTTTGTTCCTTCTTTTTTTGTTTCTAGAATCTTGTTGTGGTTTCCTCCTTCTATGACTAGAATGGGTGATCCCTTGATTATCACAGCCTAGCCTAATCACAGAGCATTGTTCAACACGACAATCCAGGAAAACGTATATGTTGTAGGCACAGGAAAGAGGAGCAATAGAGAGTAATAATGGGCCATTGAAGGCCTCGGGAATTTTTAGAAAACTAAAACCAGAAATTTTTTTCTTCTCCAAAACTTCTCAATGCAAAGCCCAATCTAGATCTGGAATTGTATAATCCATAAATGTGTTTGTGTGGCGCAAGAGTAAAGGGATGGTAGGGAAGAACATAGGAAAGAGGAGAGCTCGAAGAGGTGGAAAGTTGTGGGATTTGCAGAAGCAAGTGCAGGGACGTTGCTCTTGATTTGATCTCTGTGGTATATTACTTGATGGTTTTGTACAATAGATAGTTGCGATAGATAGTTGTCGGGAGAAACTAACTTCCGTATCTTAATTCCGGAAGTCATTTTACACCAAGTTATGTAAAAGATTTTCTACCGGAAAAAAATTTTCCTGACCTCTTTGCAGCTAACCACCAGAAATTGAAGAAAATATTTTCTGGAAAAGATTTTCAGTCCAAACAAACATGGTACCCTGAATCAAGATTATCCATTTCTTTATCTTTATCTGTCTATGCATTCGAGGATCCTGGATGATTCAAACAAATCCTACATTCAATTACCTGAACAGAAACAGATGGGAAGTTGAAAAATGTCTTCTTTATGAGTGGTGATGCAGGTGTGGATTTCAATTCTGCTATACTTGCGGAGAACCTTGGAGTTCAGCTCACGGTGGTTGTTAGCAAATATAATTTCTGCACCTCAGCACAAATCATATGTAAAGTTTCAATTTAGTTTGTCTGAAGACCATTGATTATGGGGAAGCATCTATCGTACTATCAACTCAAAATTTGAGACTCTAGCGAATGGACAACTATAGTAGAAGTGCGCAAGTAAAGAATGTACGCTGCCTGAAAAAACGGTTGCGAATATAAAAAAATGGGTTGAGAAACATGTTTATGATGTAAGTGAAATATTATTTAAAAAAATTTGGTTATCCAAACACATTCTTATTTGGATAGGAGTTTATTTGGATGATTTATTTGAGATAATTACTGTAGCAATTTTTGTGATGTGATGTATGTGAGATAAAAAGGTGATTAGGAAGATAAAAAGGTGATTGGAATTTGTGAAACACATTATTTTGTTTCAAATCTTCTCAATCCAAACACCCAAGACTTGGAGTATCAATTACAGCATTCAGTTTTGTTTGGAGTATCTATCATTTATCAAACGCTAATGACCAAACTCTTTTTTATGCTTTTAAATGGGTCTAAGGAGCTTAATTTGAAGATTGAACCGGATTCATTTGACATTTAGACCAGCAATAGTTGTTTTTAAGTTCTTTTTTTCCTGTTTTTTCTTTTTGACAGGAAGTCGGTTGTTAAATTACTGTCCCGCTTCTATGTTCATTTAGTGTTCCAAGTCAGTGAGTTGAAGTTTGTGTGACCTGATGACCACATATAGTGCTCTAATATATTAATTGATGTATATTTTATCACTAAGTTAAAGGCACAAATAATCACGTAAGTAGATTATATGTATTAATAGTTACGAAATCTCAAAGAAATAGATTCGTCGCATGATAATTTTTCATTGTATAATAGTTACTCGGGTTTATTTTATCACTAGATTAGACTTAAATAGATTGAATTTGTTTTTAATTTGAGACTCATGATGTGAAGGAATCTAAACTCTATAAACACCATAGCTCCTAATCTTTATCACCACTCTGAATGATGGATATGTGTTTTTCACGTATATTGATTAAAACAACATAATATAAAATAAAATTAGGGATAACGTTTTGGAGGGGAGGAATGGATTGAACGGCATCGAGAGAGGGAGGAGTTTCAAAACCTCTCACTTACACCCATAAAAAAAAAAGTTTAAAAAGTGAGGAAAGACATACAATAGAGTTAAGAAAGTTGGGAAGATGGGCTCCAAGCTATGGAAGCGGAGTTGTCGATACAGACTTGTGGGGGCCTTGGAGCTGGAAACTTTGGAACCAGGATAGATGCTACATTTAGGGTTTGGGGCGCTTAATGTCAGCATATCAGGGAAGGATGTAATACGTTGGTCATATAAGGTATTTATAAGTCTACACTAGCTAACAACCTTGCTCTTATGTCTTTTAACACTTCTAACTTCCAAGATAGACTCTCCATGTAATTCACCAAGAATTTTTGTTGGCGTTATATGCATTGTGATCTTGAAACTTCAACTTCCAAGATAGACTTTCCGTGTTATTTTTTTTCATACATTTCACCAAGAATTTTGTTAGCTTTATATGCATTGTGATCTGAAACTCTATGATTTTGCCGGTTTCAAATACCACATAAATTGAAGTGGTTCTTCTCATACCTAGGTAGATTTTAGACTAACTTAGGGGCCGTTTGAAATTACAAAAAAAAAATAAAATAAAATTAGGAGCAGAGGTTTTGGACATTTAAAGCAATTCTAGCACAAAATTCAAAATCGGTGCTTTTAGAATAATTTTTGTGTTTTGAAAAAAAAAATAAAATTAACTTTAACAATTTTATTATAATTTGTTTAACTAGATGAAGAAATAAATATTTTTTAGACATTTAAAATTACAAATAGAAAATAGAAAATGTACTTAATCAAATATATGTCCTAAACATTTTAATAATTGTTTGGGGCGTATACTTGAATAAGGATTTATCAAGCATTTAGTAAGTACTTTTACTGGTGAAAGTTCTGTTCATTGAAGTGCTTTTAGATAAAGCTACTGCAACTCCAAACAAACAGGAGGCTTTTAAATGGTTCCCTTAGTCGCATTGAACAAATAATTAACGGTTAAAGAGTGCTGTTTCCTTTCTTTACAAATATAAAAGCATCTTTTTAAGATGGCTAGGACTTTGTCAAGAGTAATAAGTCCTAAACAACTCGATTAAATTCAATAGAATCAACCCAACCCAATTTATATAAAATGAATAAATAGAAAAACGAAGCATTGGCCCCACTACCATTGCAATATTACGTCCATGATTAAGAAGTCTGGTCTGGTGTTCATGTTAAAGTGTGGATTTCAGCAGTGTTCAACCAATTCTATGTACCTGCTTTTAAAAGATTCATCTCTAAAATTCAATGAAGTTTACCAATAGGAAGCAGAAGATGAGCAATTACTTGTCGATCAAACAATATATCCTATTGTAGTTAACTTCTACTTAAAGTTTAAGACTTAGACCGAATCAACGTACTTAAGATTTATTTTTTCTTGATGAACATGTAGTCAACTTTGATGGAACGCGTACTAAAATATCTGCGTGAAATCGTTGGAGGAAGTGGGGAGAGTAGGTTAGAGGTATCAGATGCTGAATATGCAGAAAAATTACAGGTCGAAGAGGCCCTGCAGGCTTCTCTGGCCAATCTTCAGATATCCCACCACAAAAGTCCATCATTTAAAGCCAAACAGGCTGCAGGTGAATCACAAACAGTATACTGCGAGATTTGTATGGAACGAAAAGAAAGGCACGAAATGTTCAAATTTGAGACCTGTTCTCACAGTTTCTGTTGTGATTGCGTATCCAGACACACGTCGAGGCAAAGATCCAAGAAAACATTCATATGATAACTTGCCCGACTTTAACTTGTGACCACATCATTCAACCTTTTTCTCTCAGGGGTATAATCCCTGAAATTGTTTTTGCTCGATGGGAAAAGGCCTGGAATGAGGCAACAATCCCCGATTCACAGAAATTCTATTGTCCGTTCAAGGATTGCTCAGCCATGTTGCTGAATGACGATAAGAAGGGAAAGATGATCAGACAGTCCGAATGCCCAGTATGCCGTCGATTGTTCTGTGCACGATGTTATGTCCCCTGGCATGGTGGTTTCAACTGTAAACAATTCCAGAAGCTGAAAGTGAATGAAAGAGGCAGCGATGATCTGAAGGTGCACGTCCTTACTAAGGAGAAGAAATGGACCAAATGTCCCAACTGCAATTATGTTGTTGACAAGGTTGCAGGATGTATTCATATGACTTGCAGGTCAGCTGATTCTTTTGCTACTATAGTGCAATATGTCTATAATGTGATATTTTTCTTCCCTTCTTTCTTGATCTGATGATCTGAAAGATCCAAAAATAACTAATATTGTAGAATTCCAGTCCATACTCAGTGTCCCCAACTGACGAATGCTTGTTAGACTAGAATTTGTGACATCTCATATGCTGATCTCGATGCTTCATTTCAAGACCCTTCTTTAATAATCATTCACGCTCTCTCCCTTTTTTTTTTTGTTTGGTTTGGCGTGCTGTTGCATGCAGGTGCAAGTTTGAATTCTGCTACAAATGTGGATCAAAGTGGAGTGCAAGACACTGGCGTTGCCAGGCATGAACGATAGGATCATACTCATAGTTAGTAAGACTGGTTCAGCTCCAACTAATTTGGATAGAATCCATTGTATCTATCTCTTGATAACTGTATTCCAAAGCAATGAAGTTTCAGTAGTGTTTGTCATTTTTGATTAGTACTGTATTGGCGACCAAGGCGCCTTTCACCAAGCAATTAGCAACTATTGGGTAGATTTTATATTTTAGCTTCTTATTCTATCCAAAAATCAAAATTTAGATGCAAAATCGATCGAGAATATTTAAAAGGAAATTCAAAATCAAAGTTTCAAATCAGGTAAAGAGTTGGTAGGAATTAGCTGTAATTAGTCTAAGAATACAGCTATATAATTAGTCTAAGATAGCTGCTGTAATTAGTCTAAGAATACAGTTATATAATTAGTCTAAGATAGCTGTTGTAATTAGTCTAAGAACACAGCTGTATATAGTCTGTAATTACAGACTATATACAGCTGTACATGGCTGACCATTTAACCTAGTTACTTGTATAAATAGATCAATGAAATATGAAAAACATACTTTTCAGCATAATTAATAACTTGGTATCAGAGCATTGGGGTTTTTTTCCTTGCTCTCCTCTTCTCTGAAAATTCCAGCCATTCTTTCAATAGCCCACAGTACTGAAATTTCTTCTCTAAAACACTAATCACATCACAATATGTCAACCAAACCTGATGTTGAATCTCCTAACAGCAAGAATCTCTCCACTCTAACCATACAAGATGCTTCTTCTTCCATCCACATTAAATTGGATGGCATTAATTATCGAGTTTGGTCCAAAATTTTGCAGATGCATATTGCTGGAAGAAAAAAAAAGGGCTATATTAATGGAAAAAAGGCTGCACCAGCAGTAGATGATTCAAGTTATGATGAATGGGAAGCTGAAGATTCTCTCGTCAAATCTTGGCTTATTAATTCAATGAGTGATAATATGATATCTCACTTTGTACAATGCGGCACAACAAAGGAAGTTTGGGATGCTGTAAAAAGAAGTTACCTTGATGTATCAGATTCCTCTGAAGTTTATGAACTAATGAAGAAGACTTTTCATTTACAACAAGATGGTCGGCCTCTAGCAGAATACTACAACGAATTAAACTCAACATTTATGGAGCTCGATTATCGACGGCCCAATGACATGACATGTGCTGCTGATAAAGAAAAATATAGAAATCGTATTGCTGAAGATCGAGTTTATATTTTTCTTGCTGGGCTTGATAATAAGTTAGATCAAGTTCGAAGCCGTGTTCTAGGTACTTCTCCTTTACCAAGGTTAGAAGAAGTCTACTCCATGGTTCGTAGAGAACTACAAAGACAAGTTGCCATGGGAGCAGAATCACACTTTGAGGCTTCAGCTCTAACTGTTCAAAAGAGCACTCCTATTGTCATTAATGGAAATTCTACAGCCTCTCAGTCTCGATTTTGCACCTACTGCAATAAGAATACACATACAATTGATGTTTGTTGGAAAAAGCATGGCTATCCAGAATGGTATAAACTTAAGCAAGCTGAGAGAAAAAATAAAAAATTGGTTCATAATACTGTTGCTCAAAATGTTGCTGCCATAGACACTACTCCATCTTCTGTGTCTCATGTCTCTCGAGCATCTTCTCAAGAAGGTATTTTTGGTTTGTCCGATATTTCTGCTCATCCTAGCACTTGGATTATTGATT